TGACTACCATAAAAATCAAAGTTGGTTTTAAATTTAAAAAAACAAGTAATATAAAATACATTAAAAAAAAACAATGAATTCCTACTTTATGTTGAAATAAAATAAAATTGTTCTGATCTGATCTGATAAGAAAGATTTGGCCAACATTCACATTTTACCATGGCACTCTATCAATTCATTGCCAATTTAGGGAATTTCCAGACTTCCAACTTTTTTCTTCCACCCACGAAGAGACTGCAAAATTATAGTAATTGAATAATTTACTCTCTCTTATTTGTAAAATTTTATTTATTAACTGCATGAACTATTTTCTTTAGTAAACATTTTAATAACATTAATGTTAGTCATTGAAAACCTCATTGTTCCTTCCATAAGTACATAGAGAACTCAAAATAGATATTGTATTTCAAAGGGACTTATGTTACACAATATATTGTCTCTGTTGATTTGCCACATTGTTTTTAACATTCTGAACTAGAAATTGTTTTAACAATTTTTTAAATCATTTTTTTTATTTTTATCCTGAAATTTTCATGTTCTGTTCGTGCATAATAGTTATACTTTACTCAATAATAGTTGCAATAATATTATCTCAAATTCTTTTTTATATGTATAGTAAGCTAACGCAAGATCTATTTTGTATGTGTTTTGTTTTACAAAACAAAGATAGTGGTAAAAAAAAAAGAATTCTACTCTAGCAACACTTCATTGCAGGCAAAACACTTTTAGCTCAGACCTTAGCTCGATGTCTTGATGTTCCCTTTGCTATTTGTGACTGTACAACTTTGACCCAGGCTGGCTATGTAGGTGAAGATATAGAGAGTGTTATAGCTAAACTTCTTCAGGATGCCAACTACAATATAGAAAAAGCACAGCAAGGTATTTCTTTTACTTATGTCCTTTTAACTATTATTTACTTGGTTCTGTTTTTGCTATTATCAAAAATGTCATTCACTTTTATTCTTCTCAATAAATCAACAGTAGACTCAGGAATATCTTCAGATCCTGAATAAAAGCCAGATCTTGAAATCAAGACTCATGATTCAGCTGCCAAGACTTCTTGCCACAATCTCTCACCCTTCTCTGTAACTTGTTCTAATTCTTGAATAACCCTATGTACACCCTTTCCCTCTTAGCATGCTAGGCTAAAACTTAATACAATACATTCAACTCTTCTGTAAACAAGCTACTTGTACACAGTTATTAAACTCTTGCGCATTCTTTGCTATGTAAACCCTATTCCAATGTTCATGTTTAAGTCTGAACAAAAATTTCAACACATACACATACTATGCTATTCCCCCTCCTTTTTTCCCCTTGTTCTGTACTAGATCTATATTTGTAAAAAAATTGCTTGGAACTTTCTCTAAAAATTCTACCGTTGCTTACTTGATGAAACTCTTATGTTTTTTAGGTATAGTATTTCTAGATGAAGTAGATAAAATTGGGTCAGTGCCTGGCATACACCAGCTGAGAGATGTGGGTGGTGAAGGTGTTCAACAAGGAATGCTTAAAATGCTTGAAGGAACTATAGTGAATGTCCCTGAAAGAAACTCTCGCAAGCTTCGAGGAGAAACAGTGCAAGTGGATACAACTAACATCCTTTTTGTGGCGTCTGGTGCATTTAATGGTCTTGATCGTATTATTAGCAGAAGGAAAAACGAAAAGGTAAATACATCTCTGATGTGAAATTATGAAAATATGTTTTATATTTTTTATTCAATTGTTTTATAAAGTTTAATTTCTTTATTGCTGTCTTTAATTTTTTAATTATTTTTTTTTTACAATACTACATACTGAATGTGCTAACTCCTAGGTGTTGATTTCTAAGTCTTAACAAGTTTTCTTTAATTGATGGCCATTCATGAAAAATACTTTTTTTCCAAATAGTATTTAGGTTTTGGAACTCAAAGGTCAACAAATGAAGGCCGCAGAGCAGCTTCAGAAGCTGATGTCAAAAGCCAAAGTGAAAGTTCCAATGCTGCTCTGGACAATGAGGAAAGAGATGCATTGTTGAAACAAGTGAGAATCTTACAATATTTTTCCCTAAGGCAACTATGGCTGCTCTTACAATGCAATGATTTGTATTGAAAAAGTTTTCAGTTTCATCATTTTAATTTTTTACAATAGATTTATTGTTTTTTTTTTTCCATTACTTTCATCTAGGTGGAAGCAAGAGACATGATTGAGTTTGGTATGATACCAGAGTTTGTTGGCCGTTTGCCAGTTGTTGTACCATTCCACAGTCTAACAGAAGAAATGTTGATGAGAATTCTGATTGAGCCTAGAAATGCCTTAGTTCCTCAGTACCAAGCACTTTTTAGCATGGACAAAGTAAGTTATTGCTTACTGTTTAATGGGTACTAACAAATCTAAGAAATCAACCCAAAAAAATATAGTTAATAAAAATGGATAACTCTTATAATTTATAAAACTATAATCCAGATAAAAAGACGATGGCTACCCAGCTTTTGTCTTTCTGATACTACTCCCGTTTTTACATGATCCACTTTAAGAAACCATTCACATCATGGTAGAGTGAAGCTTATACCTTACATCATAGGCAATGAGAAACAAACTTGTATGGCATTCACAACATATACATAGTGTACATAAACTGTAATGTACATACATCATATTATGTAAAATGTTCCACAACCATAAAGGGTCTTGCTAATGTATTTTAGATTCACTTGGATGTCAAAGATGATGCTAAAAGAGCTATTGCACATTTGGCACTGGAGAGGAAAACTGGAGCTCGAGGCTTGAGGGCAATTATGGTGAGTACATGCATTGAATGACAGTAAGCATCCTTGATTTCATTCAAAAGTCAATTAAGAATTTGTCTTATCTTTTAATTCCACTAGCAGAAGTCATATTCATTACACTTTTAATTTCCTTCATATTGTAAAAAAGGATGTGAGTTATACTTCACCTGCGCAAGTTTTAAAATATTATTTTTGTGTTAAATATTTTATATCTTTTAAAATTCTGTTTTCTCCAGGAAAGTATTTTGCTGGATGCCATGTTTGAAGTTCCTGGCTCAGATATTACAACTGTGATAATCAATGAGAAGGTAGTGAAGGGCGAGGAGTCGGCAGTTTACATCAGGTCTCCTCATCTCCATAATGACGATAGAGACACAGATGACCACACCTGTGAGGATGAAGAGGAAATGAAAATGAGGCAGTTGTAATCAGGTCAAGCTGTATCATATGTCAAACAGAGATGAGGTTTCTCTCACGAGGCAGATGCTTGACACTTTACAAACTGAAGAAATATATTTCATGAAGAATTTTTTAAATAGAAAAAAAAAAACACTAATAACATTTTATTGTTTTATAGTCATTCACATTCTTTGTAAACAATTAGAAAACATTGACAACAAATGACAGGAAATAGTGCATGGTAAATATATTTGATCATTTGTAAGTTATAAAGTATATATAAGTATAAAGAATGATTTCATTTTTTTGGTGGCTCATCTTTTTAACTGTATGATATCTTTTCAACATTGAGCCTCAATGGCTTCAGTTTTTCAGTCTTCAAAGTTTTAATTCTCCTAATTCAAAATTATTAACAAGGTTAGTAAAACAGTGAAATGTATTGGATTACAACTTAAAACTGTTTAAAATACTAAACAATAGATCTCTGCATAACATCATTTTTTTGTCTTTTATTTTTTTCATTGATATCAGTTTTATAATAAAAAAAAAATTTAACAAGAAAATATTTTAATACAAAATTTATATTGAGCTCATTCCCCATCCCCCACCCCTAAACATTACTTCATTGTTATATTTTTATAATTTTCTAGTATTTCTAAGCAACAATTAATACAGCACTTCTCAAGACTTCAATTCTTAGTGCCCTAGTCTCGTATCACTGAGATTTGTCTATATAGTAATTTGTTCCTCACTATTTGTTTCTTCTGACAAGAGAAATGCTGTTGTAATGCTTACTGATTTTATGTTTTTTATTTTTACTCACTCATGTTTTTAGTCATTACCTGTGTTATTTTAATTTATTCCAACTTTCATCTCTCTTGGGATCGCTGTGGGGTTACTTTTCTGGCACTCTTTTTTTTTTCTTCAGATATTTAAAGCTTATCTTATTTCTACTATATGTATTCCTTAAACCCTTAACAGTTTTTTTTATAATGTCTGAAATTCACCCTCAGTTCTAACCTTTTTAAAATGATGTTAACATTATGTCTCATACAAATACTAAAGTATTCACTCAATGCTTGTATTTCTGAGATACACCTTGTGGTTTAATAGAATTGATTGGTCAGTGTTTCCCAAACTGTGTTCCGCAGAACCCTAGTGTTCCATTAGGTCTGAATGAACTTGAACTAGTAGACTATCATGTCAGTTAATCTCTTTAAAAAATAAGCAAAGTGTTTCATTGTATAGTCAGAATGTGCGAAGTGTTCCATTAAAGAAAAAGTTTGGGAAACACTGGGTTAGGTAAATATAGGATGTATCCTTTCAATAAAAAAAGTTACTATGACTTGTGGTCTAAAGGAATGTTTGGGTAAATATATTCAATATCCTTTCACTAAAAAAGGTGTACTTTACTTTTGAAGGTCTGAAGTAGCTAGGATCCCAGTTTTTATTTAACCAGTGTTCTTGTTTCAGTCTCTACAAAGATGTCTTAGTTCATTATGTTTTGTTTTGTTCTATACCATTTGTGTTACTTCAGAAATGTTCAGTTAAAAATAATTAAATGTGGTTTAATATTTTATGATATTCTATTCAGGCAAGGAGAATGATAAGCCTAAATGGCTAAGTGTACATTTTTTTTCATGAATTAATCATCAGTTTACTTTGAACTGCTGTCATTTTGCTGCAGACTTTAAACAACCCTTGTATGTGTTATATATTGTAAATGTCTCTAATAAACAAACAAATATCTCAATCTAATTTTTGAGTTTTAAGTTTTTAATGATGAAAAAAAAAACATGCATCTGGTGATTATTTGGTGGGGAACAAACTTATGAATTGTATTTCCTTGCATAAATATTCACTTAAATAATAAACTCAACATCACCCATCTTAATTAGCAGAAAATAAATTTTATTCAAATTTGCATAAGCTTAATTGAATATTAGATCATGACTTTGTGTGTTTGTGTTTATATTTCTCAATAATTTATGTATCTCATTTAGTAAAAGGAAAAGTTCCTCTTTCAGACCTTGCGTTCTATAGGGCTGATGATGTAAAGGCCAATGGTTTATGAGTGTACCATATGCACAATGACCAATGGCCTTTACTTTTCCCAAATAATTTCAGTTACCCATTAGAGCTTTTCAACTAATAAACTAATATCTTTAAATTATATATTTAACTTAATTCAGCATTTTTGGCACTAATTAATTCAAATTAACAACTCTTAGTTTAGGACTATTTTGTCTCACTAATCATTTTTTTATTAGCCTTATATAGATCTAAATATAATTAGATAGATCTAGAATCTATATATTTAATATTATTTAGATCTAGTCTATATTTATTATTATATCCTTAGATTTTAGATCTACTCAGTCTAGTGTTAGACTTAGACTTTAATTAAGGCTTTAGATCTACTAATACTACTAATAATAACTAATAGTAATATTCTATATAGTTAGTTATACACGTAAATATATTGATCTAGAATTAGATCTAGTCTAGGTCCATATTTTGAATTTAATAAACCATTTGATTTGATTAAATTGTCATTGTAAATTAGCTTTCACTTTAGACTTAGACTTTTTAACTTAGGCATTGTAAACCTTAAACTAGATTTAGACTAGACCTTTAAAAACTAAAATCAAAAACAGTCATCATGAAATTGCTCTGGCTATTTATCCTAATAATTACTAAATACACACTAGCTGAACATAGAACTAGATCTACCTTAGTCAACACTAAACTTAAAAAGGAAACAACAGTCATAATCAATCATCACACTCTAGATCAATGCAACTTCAAAAATAACCTAACATACACATCCATAACATTAAAGAAGATCACCCATCACAAATGGAAGTTCTCAATCAGACACAGCAGAAATAAATACCTATCACTGTTAATATTAATAGCAGGAGATGTAGAGTCAAATTCAGGGCCTAGATCTAAAGATAGATGCAACATCTGCAAAAAGTATGCACCATGAAACAGAAAGCCATTCAATGTGACACCTGCGATGAATGGTACCATGCATCATGTCTCCATATGAATACACCTGTGTATTATGCCTTAGGCAACAAAGACGCATCATGGCACTGTGTACCGTGTGGGTTACCTCAGTTTACATCAGGACTGTTTGATTCCTTTGATGCAGACACTTCTAACCCATACAATATCCTAAACACCATTCCAAACTCACCAACCACTAGCCAGATCCACTCCTGTTAAACCTAAATCTACTAAAATTAATACAACAGCCTCACTAAACAAACCTACTAAAGAAGTAATACCAAAATACCTTAAAACCTTAGTAATAAATTTTCAAAGCATTAGGAACAAAACAGCAGACTTAGAAATTTATATAGAATGTGAGAAACCAGACATAATTGCAGGAACAGAAACTTGGCTACATCCTGAAATTTATAATGCAGAAATTTTTAATAGTAATTATGAAATTTTTAGAAAAGATAGGGCTGATAATCATGAAGGAGTTCTTCTAGCAATAAAAAACACTCTTATAGCAGAAGAAATTACCTTACCTTACTCAAAAAATATAGAATCAACATTTTGTAAAATTAATACCACCTCAACATCCCTAATAATAGGCAGCATTTACAGACCACCAAATTCTAGTTTAGAATACATGCAGGAACTATGTAATCAGATTACTACACTTAAAGAGACAAATAAAAATGCAGTTTTTTGGATTATGGGTGATTTCAACCTACCTGATATAAATTGGAAAACACTAACCAAAGATAAACACCAAAACCTTAAGGACATAAATGAGCTTTTCGTAGAAACTTTACACAACCTAAGTTTAGATCAAATCATTAAAAAGCCAACTAGATTAAACAACACATTAGATCTCTTCTTAACCAACAGACCAGGATTAGTAGTTGATTATGATATTATCCCTGGTCTATCAGACCATGAGATCATAAAAATACACAGTCAGATAAAAGCAGTAGCCAATTCAAAAGAAAAATCGTACTCTTGAATAAATGTAACCTAACACAACTACACCAAGCTGCATTAAACTTTCAACAAACATTCTTATTAGAAAAAGACATTAACCAACCAGTCGATGACCTCTGGAATTTCATTAAAAACCATCTTAACCATTATAGAAAATCATATACCAACTAAATACACATTAAACAAAATAAATAAATGCTGGTTTAATAATAGACTAAAGAAGCTTTGTAAACAGAAGGAAAACCTATATAGAAAATTTAAAGAAACTAAGGCAGAAAGAGTTTACAAAAAGTATATAAAAATTAAACACTTAACCCAAAAAGTAAGCAGACAGCTGCAGAGTGAATACATAAACAATGTAAAATCTAAAGATAACAACAAAAACCTATGGTCATACATTAAGTCTAAGAAAATGAAAACAACAGGCATAGTGCCATTAAAAGATGAACATAACATAATACATAATGATAATGAAACTAAAGCAAACATCCTAAACAAATACTTTGCATCAGCATTCTCAGCCCTAGGAGACAAAGACATATTACTGAATTTGAACCAAGTAGACAACATAGAAAATGGAATTCAAAAACTATTAGCCAACAAATAAAGCGTCTGGACCTGATGGTATTCCAGCTAGATTACTCAAAGAACTAAGCAATGAGCTAGCCCCAGTGTTCAAAATACTCTTTCAGGCTTCACTTAACCAGGGCAGAGTACCAAAGGACTGGAAAGAAGCTAATGTCACCCCCCTATTTAAAAAAGGAGAAAAATCTGACCCAGGAAACTACAGACCAGTATCACTTACCAGCATCACATGTAAAATCCTAGAACACATAATATGTAGCAACATCATAAGCCACTTAGACAAACAAAATGTCCTCACACCATACCAACATGGCTTTAGAAAATATAGATCATGTGAAACACAACTAATAGGACTAATTGATGATTTTTCTAAAGGTTTAGATAATAGTGAACAAATAGATGCTATCTTACTAGATTTTTCTAAGGCTTTTGACAAAGTTCACCACCATAGTTTGCTTAAAAAATTAAAATATTTTGGCATTAATGGTCCACTGCATCAGTGGATTAAAGATTTTCTGATAGGGAGAGAACAAACTGTAATAATAAATGGCTCTAAATCAACACTGATAACAGTAAACTCAGGTGTACCTCAAGGAACAGTCTTTTAATTTACATAAATGATTTACCAAATAGCATTACTTCAGGAACAAAAGTCAGATTATTTGCAGACGATTGCATAATATATAGAACAATAAAAACAATACAAGACACATATATTTTACAAAGAGAATTAGATGAATTACAGAAATGGGAATCAAATTGAAGCATGTCTTTCCACCCAGAAAAATGTCAGTTGATAATAGTAACAAAAAAACTAAAACAAATTAATTCCACTTATCTTATTCATGGCAAACTAGTAAAACAGACTAAAAATGCAAAATACCTAGGTGTTATAATAAATGAAAAACTGTCATGGAATCCACATATTGATGAAACTATACAAAAAATCAAACAAAGCATTAGGATTTATTAAAAGAAATTTCTATAAATCAATAAGAACATAAAACTAAAATGTTATTTAACCTTGGTTAGGCCAATAATACAATATGCATCCTCCGTTTGGGACCCCTCAACTCAAGAAAACATTAAGAAACTGGAACAGACACAAAATAGAGCAGTGAGATTCATAACAAATGAATATTTACATTTGACTAGAGTAACACCTATAGTAAAATCACTAAATGTAGAAAGCCTTCGGGACAGAAGACTCAAAAGTAAAGTAGCAATTATACATAAAACACTGAACCATAATCTTCAAATACAAAAACAAAATTTAATAAAATACTCTGAAAGACACAAAGATAAAGGCACATCCTCGTCCCATATGCTAGGACAAATTTGTACAAATACTCCTTCTTCCCTAGTGCTATTAGAGCATGGAATGGGTTGTCTGAGCTAGCCAGGAAAACCAGTGACTTGGCAGAATTTAAGCCATTGGTTAATATGCATGACTAAATGCATGACGCGTAGGACGTAATCATCTTCTTTTTTGAAGTAACATCTGTATTATATAAGATAAGATAAGAGCTGGGTGGACTTAGAGGCGCCTGAAAGATCCAAGGATTCAAACCGGGGACTACTGGTTCGGAAGCCCAGTGCTGTCCCATCCAGCCACCACAACTCCTTTTCATTTAGAAATTAATTAAAAAATTATTTTTTTTATTATAGATTCATCTAATATATGTTTAGATCAAGGGTCTAAGTTTTAAGTATTTTGAAAACTACACAGAGAACTACTCTTATTTACTGCGATATTACGCTTCATATAATAACTCAGGAACTTTAGGTCAGAAGCACACAATCTCTGTCAGTATATCAAAGTGCCATTCTGGCAAATATACAGGACACAAATGGGCACATCAAGAAGCCATGCAATCAAGGACATCACCTTATATCACTCTGTCTATAAAGACAGTTTCAATTTAATTCCCATTTCTGTAAATCTTCTAATTCTCTTTGTAAAAAATATCTTTATCTTGTGTTATTTTTATTGTTCTACATATTATGTAATCATCTGCAAATAATCTCGAACTAATGCAATTTGGTAGGTAATTTATGTAAATAATACAGTATATCGGGCCTAAGATTGTTCCTTGAGGTACACCTGAGTATACTGTTATTGGCAGTGTTTTTTTAAGTGACGGTACGCACTGGTACGGCGTATCGCTACCTTTTTCAATGTGGGAAATTTTTTTTACTTTTCTTCTACTGTATTATAAATGGATATTTTTTAAAACATTATTTCATGTTTCAAAGATCGTAGTCTAAAAAAAAAAGCATCACACAAATTTTAAGACAATGTAAAGCTAAACCGGCATGTTGGTACTCACGACTGACCCAAGAATGCCAAAGACCCAAAGATCTAGCGCAAACTCTGTGAAAACACAAACTCTCTTTGTAATCGTGTTATAAATACAATTTAGGACACTGACCGACAACAACCCTTTAAAAAATAGCTCCATTGG